GAGGTATTTGAGAGTTTATTCTGTTGCAAAGAGATATAATTGGATGAGGATTTTCCTCCAGTAAGATTTAATGCTAAAGTTGCGCTGACGAGTAATTGTCTTAAACTAGGACTCTGTGCATGATATTTTATGACAAGGTATGTTTCATGATGGTTTCTCAGTTCACTCAATATTAGTAATTTCTAGCTTACAGTGGTAAATGTATGGTACATACAATGCCAAAGTCGTAGGGATAACGTTGTTATGGTATAAGATATTATTCATATGTCTTAAGTCGGTGTCAGTTCAAAAACTTGTGATGATATGGATACAAGAAAGAGAAGCTTAAAAGCTCATATCCCTTACAACTTTGCTATAAGATAATATGCAAGTGGAACATTTTAACCAATGTATAAAGGCGGAAGCACAAGGCGAAGCGTTAGGCTCATTAATGAAGTGAGGTGTAAGCCTCATGAGTTTAAGTATTTGATTTTAAAATTTATGGATATATAACATATAATATTATAATAATTTACAAATCCATGCGTTCATGTCCTGATTAGTAAATAAGAATTAAAAATATGAACCATAGATGCAAATCATAATAAATTAAGCTACATGCATAACTTATATATCTCATTTACAGTCACATGGTCATATTGAAGATATATAGAGATATTCTAATGTTAGTTGAAAATCCTTTTATATCCTATATATTGTCTAAGAGGTGTGCTTCAAAAGAAAGGCGGTTTATGAAGCGAGAAGCACACACAATTATGGTGATGAGGTGTAGTTTTGAAGTGCTTACACTTCAAAAAAATTTCTAAGTGAGTTTCGAAATGAGTTTCAAATAAGCTTTTTCAAACATTGATTTTAACATTGATAGAAACATATAGATTGGTTGTTGGGAGAAGCTTGGAGTTAATGTCTAGTTCTCCAGTGCATGCGATGCGCGCATTACATAGTAATATGGTGCGTAAAATAAATATTTTTGACACCTTAATAATCAATGCTAATATAAATAGATTTTTAGAAAATTATTGCCAAAAGTGATATGAAATATCTTACTATTAGAAAACGTGGGGAGTGGGGTCAGTTATTAACTAGTGGATGGTAGTGAGGGTGTTTATAGATCTTTCCAATTTTGTTCTCTACTTAGTTTCAATGTACTATAAATTGTCAAAAATAGGTGTTAAATTCTTTGAAATCTTGACACATAGGGGTAAAACCAAAAGTGTGGTTTTCCTTAAGTAATAGTGATAAATTTTAATAGCAGTAAGAGAGTTATAGAAGAGAGAGGAGTTTCCGTAACTACAGCAAAATGCAATTAATTTGTTTTGGGAATTTATGTACTTTTCATCTTTTCCCATGGTTATTTATGAGCAAACTTGTTGAAATATAGACCATAAATGTCAAACAGGAAAGGGAAAAGAGTCATTCCTTTCGCAAGTGCTTGCCATTCAGTTCAAATAAATTGCAGTGTTAAACCTCTAATGCTAGAGTAGGAACCAAATCTTCTTCTGGAATTGGAGAATTTTGTTAAGAGTCCTTCATCTATGTATTATTATGTAGGGTTTTTGTCTTTTAACCCAAAGTTTTGCCCCCACTTATTTAAAATCCACCACTTCCATAAACACTCATACCCCCAAAGTATCCCATACGACTTATTTTACCCGACTTGTGACTTATTTTTAAACCCAACCTATAGTATACCCTCAAACTTTATATTGGACCTCCCATAACAAATCCAAAATTTCCCTTTCTTCTTCTAAACAACGATCACAGTCCACTCTTATCGCATTAATGATGATGCATGGAGAAATTCATTTTTGAATGTTGCTCCCCTCACTCCCCAAAACCCGATTTAGTATATTTATCTTCTTCAAAATCTCTCTTTCCTCCATTAATTTTCTTTCTCTTCCTAATAAAACTCTTCTATTAATATTTCTCTTCATAAAAGACAATAATTTAATTTTAATATGATTTCTATTTGCAACCATTAAATATTTCTTTTTCTGTAGTCTAGAATCAATGAAGAGCTATACTATAGATGAAGAGATACACTATAGTCGTAAAGAGTTATACTTCTGCATATAATGCTTTGTTTTGCTCATAAGAAGCTATGTTTTCGAATATAGTTTTATACTTTGCTCAGTAAAAAAATCAATCGCTATTAAGCTTTCATATTTTTATCTTAATAGACAAATGGGTACTAAATCTTCCTCTATTTTCGCCAGCAATTTTCTTGATGGCATGTTACACAATATTGATTTCTTCCACGTAGTCAAGAATCAATAAAGAGCTATATTATAATAATAAAGAGTTATACTTTAGTCACAAAGAGTTATACTTCTTTATAAGGTGTTGTACTTTGCTCGTAAAAAGCTATGTTTTCATATAAAGTGCTATATTGTACTCAACTTCAGTGGATTTTTTGGATTGGTTTCACCTAGAGTTTAGGGATCAAACTCTTAGGGTTTAGTGCTTTGTGAAAAGGAAGAGAAAGAGATAAGCGTTGGGTTTATTTGGGGAAGATGGTCAATTTTGAGATTTGATAATTTTTCTGGAAAATATAGTATAAAGTTTGAGGGTATACTACAGATTGGGTTTACAAATAAGTCACATGGGGTACTTTGGTTGTATGAGTGTTTATGGAAGTGAGTGGGTTTCTGAATAAATGGAGGTAGAACTTTTGGTTAAAAGACAAAAACCCCTATTATGTATCTCCTTTGAGGGATCATGCATAAATAGTTTTTCCCTTTTAGAGAAACACGGGTTCTTCTATTCTATTGATCATGTAATTCTGTTAGTGACTTAAGATTATCTGATGCAAAAAATGTCTGATACAGAAGTTGGAATCTCAGAAAGGAGTACCTTGGTTAGTTCTCCCTTCCCCTTTGGCAAATAAAAATCTTGTGTTGGTCAGGATTTTATGCAGTCTATACTATTGTTTCGATCAATATGACAAAAGCATTCAGATATCAAATGTCAGTTAGATTCAGTTTTTTCTGAAGTATGCCTCAGTTTTTTCTGAAGTATGCCTTCTCTCCTGATGTGGGTATCACCTCTTCTGATTTTCTTAAGACTCTTTGTTGCTTGTTCCTGACTTGGTCGGTTTTAATGTTTTCTTCTCCCCAAATTCTGTGTTGTCTCTTCCTTTTGGTCAAATAGCTGCTTCTGTTTCTTTGGATAAACCATAAAACACTTGTGTACTTTTATTAATAGGAAGCTTGTTAATTGGTAGAACATCGGAAGATCAAGCAATTCTAGAGAGAAGGGCAGAACTTTTATCTAAATCTGGAATCAATTCAGAATACTTGTCTGCCGCATCTTTGCTCTCAAAGGAGCCAGCACTTGAAGTAGGAGGGGAATGCGGAGCTGCATTTTTACCAGACGACTGCCAATTGGATGCCTTTCGCACTGTTGCATTCATAGAAAAGGTGCCTCCTTTGCAGTCATCTGCTTTAAGGATCACACATGTTAGCAGTGGTTTATGAACTTGTGAATCTGGTTTCTGATATTCTGCTACTTGCAGGGTAATAAGTGCTTTGCTTCTAAGGGAAGATATGCTGAGTATTTTAATAACCCTGCAATTAGCTTGATAAGGTTTTCTTTTAGATAAATTTTCTAATATTCAAATTCTCTTTGTACTGCTGACTTCTTAAGGTACTACTCTGCTCAAAGCTAAGAGTAATGCTGCTATTTTGATACTGTGCAGATCCGAGGATGGAGTGGTTGAAGGTATTCAAACTGTAGAAAATGTTCTGTACTGTAAGCAGGCATTGGTGGTTGCAGCAGGTGCTTGGACCGGTTCCCTCATGCAAAGCCTTTCCATCAAGCCAGATGCTGTGCCTTGTGTACCTGTAAAGCCTCGAAAGGTAGCACTCAGACAAACAATTTACCTATATTTAACCCAAAGAATGATACCACCTACTAAATAGAATGATACAATTTCTTTTAAAAAGGTTTCCTAATATATGACTATGTTATGTTAGGTCTTCTTTATGAAACTGCCATATAATTACTGTGTAATCAGATACCTATTAACTTGGATTCACCTGGTTATGGAGTATCCTAACCAATGGGTGACACCTCTTACGCCACTTTGAGATGGGGTTATATTATTACGGTTAATAAACCCACCTTTTTTGAGGTTCTAATTTTGAGCCACATGGGTTATCTTTGGTTTGACCAAGGATATCTCTCATTTGACCAGGTTGTTAGAAGAGTCCATGCTAAATTGGCTTAATTGCACTTACCCCTACTTCCGGCTTATATGCCCTCACTTGTTTTTGGTAGCATTCATAAACCCTAAAGTTTTTAAAACTTGTACTTATATACCCTCACTTGTTTTAGCAACACTTATTACCCTAAAGTTATTAAAACTTGCACTTAAATACCCTAAAGTTTCTAAAACTTGCACTTAAATACCCTAAAATTTCTAAAACTTGCACTTAAATATCCGCAGTTGTGCAAACTTGAGGATATCTAAGTGCAAGTTTTTAAAAATTTATTGTATTTAAGTGCCAATTTTAAAAACTTCAGGGTATTTAAGTGTCAGTTTTAAAAACTTTAGGGTATATAAATGCTGCCAAAAACAAGTGAGGGTACATAAGTGAAAAATTTAAAAACTTTAAGGTCTATAAGTGCTGCCAAAAATAAGTGAGGGTATAAAAATGCAACGTGGGGGAAACTATAAGGTTTAAGTGCAATCAAGCCTGTTATTTTGAAGTATTTACCTCAAGTCTAATGGCCTTCAAGTCTAATGGATATTCCTCTTTATACCCTAACGTAAGATATCCATCACTTGACCCTAGTGTGGTATCACATTGCTTGCAAATCAAACGTATCCTTCCTTTAGCAGTTAATATGAATTTTAGAAGTATCCATCCACTTTAAAGCATCCGAGTGAATATACTTTGAATGAAGTGGATAGTTGCCCTCTTCATCCCCTTACCAGTTGTAGTTGCTCTCTGTTGCGGGTTCCACATTGCTCTCAATAGGGCATGTTCTCAACAACTTCAACTGTTATGTTTTGTGTTTTATCTCCATTAGGTGTACCTCATCATTTAATTTTCTATAATAACTCGTAATAATTCTTTGGCGCACTTGAGCTATCCTAGGAGTCTTTGAATTTTTCAATAAAAAGGTTATGGGATGCTGATGACTCCAACCCTCTCTGCAATCACTCCCTGAGTGTATGAGCCCTTACTCCTCTATCCGCCCCACCCTTCCCTATAATGCGTGCACACACACTCACCCACATGATCATCCACCCTCAAATGCACACAAAGTAAATTGGAATATATTATTGTCCTTATCAGTTTGTGACGAAGTCTGTAACATATTTAACAAGGTTTCCGGGCACTAAAGATGCTGACGCTGACCCCCATCTCTACCACCCACCTGATGCACACTCTCACACACAACCCAAAGAAATATTCCATTGCTTAGTTGTTCACATCACTATAGAGCAATTCTTTGCACACATGGTCTTTTCTAGAAGCCCTCCATCTAACACAATTTGTTGGTAAAAGACGCCAACCCCCTACCATTATCCTAAGCATGTGGATTCACATACTTAATATGAACACCCACAGGCACACAAACACAAGATGTACTATTCATATTTACAATTCAATGGCACATCTAACGAGGTGTATTCTAGAGAACTGTGTGCACACAAACACCTTCATGTTCGGTTGGGAATGCATGCTGTCACATTTTCACACACTCACGCACCCTCACATTTTCACACACTGACATATACAAGTAAATTCACAGATGACGTACACACTGCACTTGTCTGCAGAGAAGCACAAATACAGGCCCAATATGTATTGAAATCTGTGGTTCCAAGTCACTATAGTTGATCAGTTCAGGAGGGTTTCCGTTCATAGTTTTGTGGTACCCTTCAACACAATCCCCTCCCTTCATCCGACAGCGTGACATGAGTCCAGGAAATATGAAACATAGCAGCGCAGAGGTCGGCGAGGGCGTGGGAAGCACGACGAGAAGTTTCCGAAGACGGTCCACGCACACCGACATGACCGCAGATCAGAGGGACGGGGGCGGCGGAGGAGCAATCTCAAATCGGATTCTGGAAAGCATCCCGGCTAGAACGCCGTGCTATAGTCTGAAGTATCCAAGCGAGCACCTATGGTTAGGGTTCGGGACAGACTGCCCGTTCAGAGGATGAAGAATCTGATGCTGCTCCGCGTGCATCGAGTAGTGAATTAGGCGGTGTCCAGGAGAGGGACAACCCGTGAGGCGCACTCATGATCATGGGCGAGCAAGTGGCATCAAATGCTTGAGTGACAGCCTTGGCTAAGCACAAGGAAACTTTCAGGTTCGAAATGCAGATGGCCATGGCAAAACATGAGAGAAATGCAATGAACGGCAGCAAATCCAGCATTGACCGGAACCAGCAAGGCGAGCCATAGTCGTCGTAACCGCGGTTAACTTTGGACAACGAGAACGAATGAAGCTCGTAATACCAATAACCTCGCCGTCAATGCAGGGGGTGGTAACGAGAATGCTAGTGAAAACACAGATGAAAATCTGAAATTAAAAATCTCGAGAGCAAAATCATACATTGGATCTTGCTCACAGAGATGAAGAAGACAGGCATTCCTTGCCATACCTAAGAGAGTGGATCATCCATATCGCGGCGAAGTCAACCTAATTAACTTCACGGCCGTTTAATGGGAATGGTTCCCCCACCTCAACATTATTGATTTGATTCAAATCGCAACCTGGGAGTCTTATCTCCGGCAATCGACCTCTGATGTGCGGTCATTCGTTGGCACTCTTCCACGAGCCGCCTTCCGATTGGTATCCGCCGCCTCAAGCCAGGTAAGTGTGAAGCAGCTGGACGACATGGAGACGGCGAAGTCCTCGGCCAACTTTTTCGACGATGACACAGAGATATCCCTCGATGCGGTTTGCTGGACCGGAGAAGTGCAGAAAGACGGAGATTGGTGGACACCTTCTTAGAGGTTCCGAACAAGCGATGAACTGTCGGGACCCGATCAACCCGAGGAATTCATCCATCCAGACTTGGCGCCCCAAGCACCTCGCACTGGACGTGTTGGAAGCAATGGGGACAGCACTCGTCCAAAAACGACTGGAAGGATCTAAAGGTCCGAGGAGAGCAAGCCGGGCGATTCTTAAGTAAAGGAAGAAGGCGAAGAGAGCCAACAGGCGACGCATGCTCCACAAACAGAAATTTCGTCGCCACGGTGGGAAAGGTAAGGCACAGGCAACAAAGCAATTGATGCTAATCAAACCTTTTCATTGCAACCTCCACAACAACAACAGCAGCAGCAGCGGCAACAAGCACACACAACAAGGCTCGGGGCAATGGAAACCAACCGGCCTCAGAAGCAGAAATCTTCAGAGCCGAGGTTTCCGCAAGGTGTACTCCTTCAAAGATGATGAAGTTCCCGCATCTTCAAATTACTGTTGGGAGAACAACGAATGATCCAGCTGCCGTCGTCGTTGGATCAGTGGAGGGGGGCGAACAAAGTGACGGATGGACCGAAGTATTGCGTATACTTATAGAGCGGTCCATCCACGCACGAAGTCATGCTACCGACCTGCACGGACAAGATTCAGGCGCCTACAATTGATGTAGGCGTCATCACCCCGAAGGGCCGTCCAAAAGAATGTTGGACGCAGAACGCGGCTTTCGATCAGCTTTGGATCTGACCCACAGCGTGGTTTTGCACCAAAACGCATCACACCCAAAGTGGGAATGAAAACAGTAAACGACGAATCCGCATGGACAGGCGCCAAAAGGACTGTGGCCAATACAGCTCCAAACGGCGATATTGCTCTGGTTCATCCCGACCCTGATTGAAGATGAAGCAATGGGTCCGGGTCGATCTCATCCAAGAAGAAGTCCAAAGGAAAGGAAGTCTTCGCTGCGAGTCCTCTGTCCCCAGGAGAGGATGACGAAAGAATACAAGCTTTTCCGCTTCTGAGAAAGCACAAGAGTTTTTGCAAAAAACCCGAACGGAAATGAGTACACTATCAACATATCCATCAGCGCTAGTGAGGAGGGGGTGAATAAACTGGGACCAGCCAAACTCTTAACGGAGATGGGGGTAATTCGAAGATCCTACACCGGGAGCAGAGGCTCGGACAACAGCCAGTGACTAAAAGCGAAAGAAGAAGATCCGCCAAGACGGTGCAGAATCCGAAGGCAGTCCTCGTTTTAAGTCGGCCGCGACTTGGACAAAGCAAAACGGGAAAGCTTCGAGACTCCACAGGTCTCGATATAGATGGCTGCAAGATAGCCAATATTCAGCACAGATAACCTGTAATGAAGTTGCTCGCGGTTATCCAAAGCGAAACAGGGAGGCCCCTGGCAAGAAGCTTTGGCCATTCAGCAGTGTTTTCTCGACTGCAAGTTTTCAACGGGTGCCTGAAAATCCGCAGAACCGGTGAGTCAACATGCAAATAGCGACAAGAATCCTTCGCCTGGGGCATTCACTTTCACCAAAGAAGATATGCACGACGGAAGATTCAAACCACGATCGACCGCTATATTTTCGTCGGGGTACTATTGCTCCACAGCAAAGTCAACCGAATGCCAAGTGGATCGCGGGTTCTGCTGTGAGTATTATGCCGCTTCGGCTGATGTAATTTCCTCGGCATTCCAGTTAGCAAATTGGGTCACTAGGCACTGTGCATCTATGGATTCAACACTAGTGGGTTCAAGACCCTTGGTAATGATCCGGGTAAAGGTGTTAATGGGGGATTTAAGACAGAATCACATGTTATGTGAATTGATGCCGAGACTTCGTACAACTTTACTATTGGGTCGACCTCGGATCCGTTATAATGTTATAATTCCTCTAGCTTCCATGCAGTGTTTGAAGTATGTCGACACTAGACAATCGAGGTTAGGACGTGGTCGCGGATAAGCAGACCATTCCAAGGGTATGAGAATTATTTCAGACCGATTCTCTCCCCTTTATGGTAACGAATCCGACAGCGACCTTCGGCCCAAGGCAACAGACAGCGAGAAGAATACTGATTCTGAAGTCGGATTCGTTACGATGGTGGTTTCTGTTTTAAATGACATTGTACTCCTTTGTAATCCAATGCTGGACGCTGAACAATCGTCAGATGGAGTTGTAACTGGCAGCCCTTGCCGATTATTGAAATAAAAATGATTTTAGAGTGACTCCTTATCTCTTGATGATGTGATGAAAGAACTGTATGATAATGCCCTGAGTTGTATATGCCGATCCGATCATCCTATGCTGAGAAGGAACGGCCTGGCCAGATTGCTTTCGGCAACAACCGATTGGTGCATACCGAACAAAATAAGAGGCCAAAAGAAGTGATTTAGCGTAACGGAAAAGCTCCCCATTGGCGCACAATCATTTCTTAGGGCAAAGAAGAAGATGATGACAAGCGCTAGTCGACATCTATCTAAAGTATAGTCCAGAAGCGCGCAAGGCTGCATGGAAAGCAGGGGTACGATTTCACAACTCGGAGAAGGTCTATACTTCAATCGAGGTCCTCGTAATCGCAGCCAAAGCGGTATATGTACCAACAAGGGAAATCTGAGGAGTTAATAAAATTATGGGCGAGGCTTAAAAGGCTACGTTTCCTCGTCCCGGATGATGAACTGTGGTGGGCAGATCATCGATCAATTGTAACAAAACTAAAGAATGGATACTCTTCTGATTCTTC